TCAAACCATTTTTCATGTTCACTGCAGTTCTACTGTACATTTTCACTACATGCTGCCTCCACTATGAATTCATTTTGTTTCTGTTCATCCCTTTTCATTTTATTCTAATATTTGGGCATTACAGTCCTTTAAAAAAGATGCTATAAAATACTGGGGGAGAAGGCCAGGTGCGGTGGCTCACGCCTGTAATGCCAGCACTTTGGGAGGCTGAGGCAGGCGGATCATGAGGTCAGGAGATCGAGACCATCCTGGCCAACACAGTGAAACCCCGTCTCTACTAAAAATATAAAAAATTAGCCAAGCGTGGTGGCAGGCGCCTATAGTCCCAGCTATAGGCGGGACTTGAGGAGGAGAATCGGGAGCCTGAGGCAGGAGAATCACTTGAACCCAGGAGGCAGAGGTTGCAGTGAGCCGAGATTGTGATGTACTCCAGCACTGTACTCCAGCCTTGGCAACAGAGCAAGACTCCATCTCAAAAAAAATTAAGAATAAAAATTAAAAAATTTTTAAAAATAATAATCTTGGGGGAGAAAGATGTGAGAAGTTAAAATAATTCTAGTTGCACTTGGCTTTCCCAAAGAAAGAATATTACAAATAAAGATCTGTATTCTTGAGCAGGAAGGGATGTATATCTGATAACCACTTTTCCATGGTTATATCCAAACTCATTTTTAACAAATGAAGTGATTTAGCATATTGCTATATAAATAATAAAATAGATGTAACATAACAAACTTGCCTCAGAGCTGATTAATAACCAGAGTGGAGGCTATAACCCATTTCTCCTGACAGCTCACCCTTCATCAAGCTCACGGATTTAAAACACCATTCAGGTTAACCCTCTGTAAGTAATCAATACGCACCTAGAAGTTTTGGTAAAATCAAATTTTTATTCAAATCATATTTTAATGTTGACACTTTTATTCCTGAAATGGTTGGACTTAATACTCAAATAACAAAGCTTCTAGTAAAACTTCTCAATTCCTTGCATTTTTTGGTTAGTTGATATGAGAGAATGAGACACAAATGTGCTAAAAGAATTCTTTAAAGTCTACATAATGAATTATCTTATGTGAATCACTAACTTCTAAATCACAGGTTTTGAAAACTTAGGTTTTCTTGCATCATTCTTAAACCAAAGTTCATAGTTTTTCCATTCTAAGAAGGTTTAACCAAAATGTACAGTGAAATAGTGGCAAATGCATAGTGAAATGTTTCAAAGCAACTTGAACAATATGTGTTTAACCAGCCCTTAACCTGAGAGCTGTGCAGTCCAATACAGTAGCCACTAGCCACGTGTGGCTGCTAAGTCCTTGAAATGCAGCTGGTCCAAATTGAGATGTAGTATAAATACAAAATACACACTGGATTTTGAAGATGACATAAAAACAAAATTGCTAATTTTCTATTGATTACATGTTGAAATAATATTTTAGATACATTGAGTTAAATAAAACATGTAATATCATCCTTTTTACTTTTTAAGTGCAACTAGCTGGAAATTTAAAAATTACATATTTTGTTCTTATCATGTTTTTACTGAAGAGCATCATAGTGAAGTTTTTCTTACCAAAGGAACACAACTGCTGATAGCTGGCTGCCTGAGTTGGAGAAAGGACACTACTAGCTCTGATTACTAATTCTCTTATTACAAATCCTCCCTATTTAGTCCTGGCTCTGCTATTAACTAGCTGGGTGACCTGGAACTGCCACTTAATCTCTCTGGCCCTAAGTACTCATCTATAATCCTAGAGAACATCTAATACCAAGTCATCATTTTAAACAAAGAAGATGCTGAGACCCCACATTTCCTGCCTTCCGGTTCCTGCTCATTTCACTGCACAACTGCACCATACACACTTTCTGATTTTATCTGTTCAGTGGCCCCACAATACAAATCTAATCCAGGAACTGCCCTGCAAATGAAATCCATGTCACTCTCTACAGGAAAAAAGGAGTGTGAATGGATCTGAGTACACCTAAGCCACTGTGGGGGAAATACTTTCACCACCCCACCTCCTCTTCAGCTGAAGGTAGCAAACCATTCCCACAGTGGGTGGCTCACAGGGTTATCTGCCAGATCAAAAAGACAGGCTTTATGATACTCTATCAAGCATCCTTACAGGTCTCCACAAGGCTATGTGACTGTCAGCAAGTCTGCTGAATCACTTTCAAACTGGATGTCCTTATTTGCAAAACAAATTAATAATATCTGCCCAACTGCACCACAGACTGGCTTGAAAGATCAAATAAAATGTACCTGGAGGCTTTAAAAGTATAAAGTAGCAAGAATGGTTTGCTACCTTCAGCAGAAGAGGGGGTGGGGTGCTGACAGTATTTCCCCCACAATGG